ACGGTGGCTGAGTGGCATTTCTCATGTTCTGATAGAGGGTGCAATAACACATGTGAAATGCTTACAGGGACAGAGCAGTGGGGATAGGCGAGGGTGTGCTGCAGTAATAAGCAGYCTGCAAGTCTTAGTGACTAACACAGCACATTCTTTTTCTTGCTTACCCCAATGTGTAATAGTTCTTCAGAGTCCTTTAAAGAAGTAAAGGAAGGAAGGGAGAAGAGAGTGGGGAGGGGAGGAAGGAAGATCTGGCAAGCCTCTCACAGAGAAGCTCCAACCCAGAGAGATACTCTCCTCTCACTTGCCTCAAGCTTCACTGCCCAACACTAGTCTCATGACCACAACTAATTTAAGAGGGGACAGGAAGTGCAAATCTACCCCAGGCACAGAAGAAGGCGAGGAGCAGGAGAAAGAGGGAAGGTCGACAAGATGGCACTGTAGGCAGGAGTGGCTGGTGCAAATGTGCCCTCTGGAGGAGTCTGCCTTGCTCCGGAAGYTGTGGTCTTCGGGAAGGCCCCAGGGTGCACACAGGAATGGCTGGAGACACAGTCGGGCACTTACTGGGAAGACCCTTGCATTCAGAAATAGCGTGTGGGAGATGGGAGCCCCTGGGTCCTGGTGTGGCCATGTGACTGGATGGAGGAGGGCTTGGGAACTCTGTCTAAGACCAGGAGAGGGCAGGCTGGGAAGGCGTGGGCAGAGGAGCTGGCAGGGGTTCACCCTTGGTGGGAGAAGGAGCGGGCCAGTCGGTGTCAGCATGGCAGCTGGTGGCTGGGCTGTGCCCACAAGCCAAGGCAGTAGCTCCCTGAGGCAGGGGTGGGCCAACAGGGACTCTCTAATGTCACTCTAAAGAGACGGCTTGCCCTCTGCAACCAAAGTTAGATGTCTGTAGGCSGTCGAGTGGCAGTGCTGGCACGTGTGCAAAAAATGCGGACGCGTGGGAACTTTCCGGCTTCCAAACTGAAGGTAACTGCAGTGCCCTGAGCAGAGGGCACATTGCAGCATTTCCACAACGAACAGTACACAGCAATGCAAACAACTAGACCACAACCAGGGTGTACACAGATCGCCAAGCGAGAACCCAGAGAGAGAACGTCAAGCAAGACACCAGGCGAGCGGCATTCGTGCCCTGGAGTTGCTGGCGGGAAATCTCCAGAGCAGCAAAGCCTCAGTGGGTGATGTGTGGGTGGGCCTCAGCCAGGGCTGCTGTAACACAGATGCCACCGCCGATGGCTTACACAGGATGAGGACCCTTCACCCCTCTGGAGGCCGWGTGGCTCCCATGACTTGGAGCTGGTGGTCTTCTTGCTGTGTCCCTACTTGACCGAAAGGGACAGGATGCAAGTTCTCTGTGTTCTTGTGGGGACTGAGCTGTCACTAGAGTGCCACCCTCATGACCTAATCACCTCCACTGTTCCCCTCCTAAAACCTAGCTCTCGAGGGACAAGATTTAAACATGACTTTTGGGGTGGGAGTGAGGGGGCAGAAGGAGCCTCGTGGGTTGACTGTGCTTCCCTCCTGCCGTCGGCAGCCACAGGTGCTCCCCGAGGTCCGGGGGCCCAGTGTTCAACTGTGCAACGGGCCACCCTCACAAGGCACCACGGACAAGCTCTCTCACAGCTCTGGAGGCCAGGATGTCCAAGGCGAGGCTGAGGCTCCGCCCGCTCTGTCCCCCAGGGAGGCTCTCTCCCCAGGTGCCCAGTGACCTTCCAGAGGAAGCAGGTGAGCCTTCTTGTCTTTTTTAACAAAGGCAGCGATCCCACCATGAAGCCCCCTGTGACCTCGTCTAACCCTAATAATCTCCGAGGCATTGGGGGGTGGGCTGTGTGTTCTCTATGTCACTTAAAACATCCTGGGGAAACAGGGGCACGAGACTTGGGTCCATCAGGAGGAGCAGCAGCTCCAGGGAGAAGCGAGTAGGGCTGCCCACCAGCGGCAGCCAAGAGAGGGGCTACAGTGTCCCCTGGCTCCAGGAAGCCTTTCTCTACCCCATGGGACCAGCTTCTCTTCGGGAAGGAGAGGAGGATGGTGGTCAGAAGCCAGCAGGAGGGGCTGAGGCATTGAGAGGGTGGGGAGGAGGCSGTGGCCCATGTGAACAAGTCCTTCGGCCGGAGGTTGTGAGCAGGGGAGGCAGGTGCTGGCACTGGGAGGGACCCGTCTAGGCCTGTGACTGTGGCAGAGACCCTAGCAGGCTCCGCCCTGAGTCCTGAGAGTCTCTGGAGGGCTGCTGCCAAATATTTCCTTACACAGCCGTCCTGCCCCTCCCTTCTCAAAGGACCTCTCCCGGCCACGTGTCTCCACAGCAGCTCCTTTCTCCTCTTCTCCACCCACCATGGCCTCCCCAGGACAKGCTCACCTCCTCAGGACATTGCCCATCTCATGCCACGGGAGGCCTGCCCCTCTAACCTGTGCCAGGCCGTGTGTGCACAGAGCAGGCGCTCAGCAGACACACTGTGAATGAGTGAAAGGCAGGGGACTCTGCAGGGGGGTGCAGGATCTGGAGCTGAGGTTCCAGCCAGGAGGGACAGAGACGTGTGCAGACGCAGAGGAGGAAGCAGTGCATTCTGTGACTGAGTGGGTGCCGGTAGCCAGGAGGCAGAGGGAGGGCCTTGGCTCTGATTGGGGGAGGGTGCTCCAGAAGAATGGGGAGACAGCTTGGAGAAATCTGAAGGATTCARAGGGACTTCCTGGGGACTGATGCTGAGCCTTGGGGTCCAGCAAGTCTGGAGATCACCAACTCAGGGGTCCCAGGCAGGGCTCAGGCATGATGGACTGAGGCGCGGGTGGGCCTCAGTGTCAGTGTGGTTCAGGGCATCCCTGCAGGTGAGGCTCGTGTTAGYATGGGTTGGGTGCTTTGGCAGAAGTGACAGATGGGAAAGGTGGGTGTGGAGATCTCTCCAAGACCAGAGAGGAAGGGTAAAGGACATGTAGGAGGCTGGGGCTCGGCATGACCACAGTATAGCACCAATGAGGTCAGGTTCCTGCTAAGCATGAACCAGTCATGCCAACCTTCTGAGGCCCTCCTTGTGCCTCTCATGTCCCTTTTGCAGATGAGGTTGTGCCAGCCCCAGCTCCCTTGTTGTTAGGACTTGAATGTAGCCTGTCTGTCTTCCAGTGTCTGAGGCTGCAGTCATTTTTCTGTCCTGAGCTGGAGAGGTGAGGAGGACATGGACAGAGAATGGGTACTGGTTCAGGATGTGCAGTATGGGACATCTGAGCAGACCAGGTGTGAGAGACAGAGAATGTCCCCATTCAGTGTATGAGGCCATGTGGACATCAGTCACCTTCCTGTGGGCAGAGTGATGTGGAACCAGCACATGTGGAGGGTCCCTGCATTTAATCTGCACCCCTCTGCTCCAGGGAGAGCAGTGGTAGCTTGCTGTGCAGTGAAAAAGCCCAGGCTGGGACAGGCAGGGCATTGGTCCTGGGCCGCTCAGCAAGCAGGTGCTGGCAGAGCCCCCAGGCCTCTCCATTACACCTGCAGGGTTAGGTTGGGCACTTTGACCTTTGGGAATTTTGAGGAATGAAAACCCAGTTTCAGCTGTGAAAGCCTCCTCCTGTTCCCYACCAGGATGCCTCAGGCAGCATCTCTGTTTCCCATAAGCCTGCCCTCCATACCCAGCACCTTTGGACCCTCCTGTCTCTACCACATTTTAGTGAGGTTTCTGGAATTCCAAAACCCGGCTGAGAGAAGCAGAGAGCATTGCATAATTGCACAACTGGGCAAGACCAGTCCCGCTGGTCACCTGGAGCCTGTGCCCCTAAATCTTGGACCCCAGGGCCTCTCAGCCTTGGTGACCACATGGAATCTGTCCCCCCTTGGCAAACTGCAGCTTTTCTCTCCCCTCTTTCCAAGGAGGTCTTGCCGAACACCCAAGCAGGCCTATGAGGCCACTGTACCCCATGCATCACGCACAGAGTGAGCCTGGAGGAGATGGCAGCTTGAGAAAAGAGGAGGGCCTGGTCCAGTGTACTGGAAGATGGGGAGGGAAGGAGTTAGAAGGGAGGGGAAAGGTGGGGTGGAGGAAGAGGGGAGGGAAGGAAGGGAGGGAGGGAGGAGGTAAGCTCCTGATGCCTACTGCAGGGGATGGGTGAGGGAAGGTGCGTTCTCCAGCCTGTTTCTGGAGCACCCCCAGTGCTGGTGTCCACAGCTGGATCTCACTTGTAGGTATACAGGGGTGAGCAGGAGGAGAGATCAGGGCTCAGCCTGGGGGAGGTAAACTCACCCTGGGCAGAATCATCCAGAGTTCCACCTTGCAAGTGCTGGCCTGCCTCCCCTAGCTTCCTCACAGAGCCAGGGTGCTCTTGGAAGGGCCCCCAGAACTTTCCGGATCCACTCGCTCTTCTACTAACCAAGGGGCTTGTGGTTCTCCCCACTACCACCCACTTAGGACTCCCATTCTACAGGTGCCCCCTTCAGCTGCGCCCCACCTCCTCCCAGTCCTTCTATTGCCTTCTGCCCAGCGAAGCTGCCCACCTCCTCCGCTCTTCTAGTCCCCCTATCCGTTGGCCGTCTCTTCCCCAATTGGAGCACCTGGCACCCAAGGGACCCTCCTCCCACAGCTCAGCCGACCAGCACCCCCGCCCCCACCCAGGCTGGCAGTCTCCTCCTTCCATCCCTCCTCCGTGGCGCACCCAGCCACCAAAGGTGCCCACCGCAAAGACTCGAGCACCGCGGCCCCACCTCTGCCCCGGCGCCCGCTGCACCTGCAGGGTGGCTGGGTGCACGGCGGGTGGCGGGCGGCGCGGCCGCAGGGGCGGAGGAGCGGGCGGCGCGAGGGAGGGGCCTGCGACAGCRGCAGCGGCGGCCGCCCCAGCCCGCGCAGCCCGGCTCGGCCCCGGCTCGGTCGGCGCAGCGCAGCGCAGCGCCGCGCGCGTCCCCTCGCCGCCGCCGCCGCAGCCAGGCGCACCGGCACCAGGCCACCGCCGCCGCCGCCGGCGCACGGACGCAGCGCGCACAGGCMGGCCGGGATGCGCGCCCGGGCCCCGGCCCGCCCGAACCCGCGGCCGCCGCCCGCCCGCCRCGCTCTCGCCTGACCGCGGCGCCCGCCCCGGCCACCCCGCCCGGTCCCGGCCGCCCGCGGCCGAGATGCCCGCCCTCCGGGGCCCCGGCGGCCCGCGCCCCTGCTAGGCTGCGGCGGTATGGCCCGCGCGCCCGGCGCGACCTCTGCGGATTGCATCGGTGTGCGGCGGCGGGGCATGCCCAGGGCACCGGGCACGGCCTTCAATGGGCGAGGACACGGACACGCGGAAAATTAACCACAGCTTCCTGCGGGACCACAGCTATGTGACTGAAGGTAACGTACGTGTTGTCTGAGACCCCCTCCGGCCGGCCGCGGCGTGGGGATGCCGTCGCACCGAATGCCCTCCGAAGGTTTGGACCGCGCGCTGTGTGTCGTGTCCCCCGACCCCACCCCACCCCACCCCACCTTCACCCCACCTCACCCTGACCCGGGCCTGGAGGGAGGGAACCCTAGGGCACCGGCCCCCCGCTGCCCAGTGCCGGGAGAGGCCAGCGCCCTCCTCCGCGCCGCCCTCCGGGAGGCAGCTTTACCCCCTGGCCAGGTAGCATCCTGATCTGCCGTGGCCATCATTTTTTTTTTTTTTTAAGGCCATGCCTGCGGTTAAGGTGATGCGGAAATCCCGGGGAAATGTAATGGCTTAAAACCCCGTGTTTGCCATTTCAGCCCTATCCAAAGCCCGCAGAATCTTCTAGGCTGCCCACTCCTTGGAGACGGAGAGGGGCCCAGAGGAAAAATCCATTGCCAGACCCTTCGGAGAAGCTCGCCTGCCGCGGGCCTCTCCCTGCCCCCAGAGGCAGGGTCCTTTCCTGGGAGGGAGGCGCAGATGTGGACTCGAGTTTTATTCCTGGGGAGTTATATTGAGACAGGAGTAGCGGGGCCCAACCTTCAGGATTCCCACCACCCAAGTGGCACAGGTTACCCCAGACAGACCCTGCATTTAAACCCCCTAAGTTGGCCCTACAGCCCAACCCCCACACCAAGCTGGTGGAACCCAGAGGGTCAGCGCCCCTCTTACATGGCAGTAACTTCCTGGGTCCCTCTGCTCTGCCTAGCCCAGAGAACGGTGGGACAGCTCCAGTGCGAAGCCAGGGGACAGCGGAGTGAACCCCTGGTGGAGGATAGGGAGACCTGGCCGTGGAGTAGCAGTGGGCTGCGCCCGCGGGGACCCTCGTGCTGGAGACCTTCCCGAGTGTAGGGCGGTGCATCTCCCCCGCGGGCTGCTGGGCAGGCTGCAGAAGTGCTTGTGTGTTTTTAGCAAGAGGCTTCTTAATGGGCACCCTGGGGAAGGGCCCTGGGCGCTTCGTCCCGCGGGACTGGTGCGCACGGTGCGGGAGCTGGGGAACCTGTGTGGGCCCTGCGCGATGACTAGCCTCCGGCCGGTGTCTAATGCCTGCTCCGCCGGAAATGAGGCCGAGAGGGAGCGGAGCCCTGCGGGGACTAGGCAGCGGAGGACGGCCAGGCGGGCTCGGCGTCCTGACCCCGGGGGCGGAGGCTGGGTGTGCAACCTGGGCGGACAGACCGCTGCTGAGGGTGGCGTTCCCCGCTCGGAGAGGAGAAGCGCTGAGTCATGCTTCGCCGCTGGGTGGGTGTGGGGAAAGCAGGCAGGGCTGCCGCGCTGGGGGACAGCGCTGTCAGGCCGGGCTCCGGGAGGCCCCGGGGAGCCGAACGCGGCCCTTTGTCGCTTGCCTCGGTGAGGTGGAGCCAGGATCCGCTGTGTGCAGGGGGTGCGCTTTCCGCTCACAGCCTGAGGAGCGGCAGAGGGTTGAAGGAGGCCTCGGGTTGCTGGCAGGTGCCCGAGCGGCCTGGCTCTAGAGCAAGGGGATCTTGGCAGGTCCTCTGCTGCGCGGGGATCTGGCTCCGGTCTGGCTCCCTGGAGGAAGCCTCTGTTTTCTCATCTTTATATTGGGGACGATGGGATGGGAGGCAGGACTGAGCTGTAATTAAACATCAACTGCACGGCCCCAGCTCATAGGACATTTTCAGCATGAATTCCTTGTCATCCCCCTGGCTTCTCTCTCTGATGACTCCACCGGTTCTCAGCTGTAGGAGCTGAAGTCAGGCTTTTGAGTCCCTTTTCCTTTTACATGATTCCTGAGCCCCTGTGTATGCAGTCGCTGCCTTAGGACCACCCCCTGCCCCCCATAGACTCCCTTGTGCAGGCTGTATTCTCGCAGGGAGCCCTGTGACCTTGAGGGGAGTTCTTCCCACCTCATGTCAGTTTCCCCACCTGTAAAATGAGAGTGCAGAAGACCACCCTGCCTATGAGGCCCAGGTGAGATGGGAGGAAGGAGCACCTTGGAACCCCAAATTGTCAATGGCAAAGTGTGGTCTGCACCTACTTTGTGCTAGGGCCTCCCACAAGGTCTCACATAACCCTCATCTCACTTTTTAGATGAGGACACTGAGGCTTGGCTTGGTCCATGGCTCAGACAGAATGTCAGGATATATAGTGCCCAGGGCTGAGGTGCCAGGGCCTTGCAGGGGCCAGATCAGATTTCCTGCSGTCCACAAGAAGAAACAGTAACAGTGATTGAGAGAAAATTAGATGAGAATTGTGACCTCCTTAGAGGAAACTGGACTTTCATGCTGTGGAATCCTGACTGCATTTGGTCAGCCTTCAGACCTGTGTTGGAATTCTGCTTCTGATGCCTCACCTCCTGTGCTGCCTTGGTCAAGTTGCTTTGCTTTCTCACTTTGTAAAGAGAGAAATAAAATGATCTCTGTCACCGACTAGATTATTGAGGTGACTATGCTAATGTAGAAAGTGCCTACTGTAGTGTTTAGCTTATCAGAATCATTTAATGAATGGCACCAGAATTTCATAACCAGTAGTGGATGCTGAGACTCAGTTTGCAAAAGACCAGGTGTGGGGGGGCTGGGGCTGTGGCTCAGCGGTAGAGCCCTCGCCTAGGTTCGATCCTCAGCATCACATAAAAATAAATAAATAAAATAAAAGTAAATAAAATAAAAAGACCAGGTGTGCACATTCCTGTTCCACCCGGTGTCTCGGTCCACGCTCCTTCAGGACGCCCCGCTGCGTGGGTGACTTCCTGCTCCTTCACATGCCAATTTCTTTTGACCTCACAGTATTTGCTCTGGCAGTTCCTGGAGGCCTACCTCCTGCGTTTCTCCTGACTATCTCCCACTCATCCTTTGAGTCCCAAATTCAATGTCATCTTTGCCAGTGGGAGTCCTGCCTGGGTTTCTAAGCTTTGGGAAATCCTAAATACCTTGAGAAGAGTTTATGTCTTGTTAGTCATTCACACCTCAGTGTGAATTGGACTGTGTGGGGTTTTTTGTTTCTGTGCTTACTCTTGGCTAGGCTCAGCTGCATTGAGGGTTATTGTGATCATTAGGTGTGAGTGTAGGACCCGGAGAACTGGGGGGCATGAGGGCCAGCAGTGAAGTGGAAGCACTGAGGACATTGGAGAGACCTGAGCCCTAGGGAAAGGGACCCAGGGATAGGAGGATGCTGGGATGTCTCTTTCAGATGTTTCTCAAAAGCTGAATATTTCCAGAAAGGGCCCTTCCTGGCTGTGCTCTCTCTTGCTGCAGAACCCAATACTCAGCCTTTGAGTGAGTTCCCTGGGTGTTTCTAGGCTGGTCTGAAAGGGTTTGGAGGTGCCAAACCCTCCCACCCTTCCTTCTCTGGGCACCAGGTGCYAGGCACGTCCTCTGCTGGGCCTGGCTCTGGTCAGGCAGCATGRTTCCCACACAAGAGCTCAGCTGGGGCTTCACAGGTGGATCCTGGYGGGTCTGGGTCACTTTGAGGAGGAGCAGCGACTCCCATGTGCCCAGCAGGTAAGGCATGTCAGGAGCACGGTGTTTGGCTGGGACCACAGTCAGTGTCCCCTCCCTGGAGCATCTCAGTCATCGACCCCTTGCAGACACCTGCTGCTCACACCTGAGGAAGGGCAGTGCCTCTGTCTTCTTAACCTCATTCAGGTTGTCTGTTATCCTGAGTTAGCAGGGAGGAAATTAAGGGGGCTCTGGTGAGCAAGGGCCGCCGGCCTGCCCTAACCCAGCKCGTGGGCAGGTTCCACTGTGGGCATTTGTCCTGGGCTGTTCCCTAGAGGCCATGGTTTCCCGTCCACCCTCAGCCACACTGGAAAGGGTGCTGCTTGTGAGAGATGGGTTTCACCTTTGTGGTCATGTCACAGCCRACTCCCCAGCATGCTGTCTCTGCCTCTGGGCAGCACACGTGCTGTTCCTGGCAAGAGGCCGCGGCCATGTCTGGGTCTGACAGGTCTAAGGGTGGGCAGTCTCATCCCCTGGGCAGTGACTGTTCCAGAGGGGATGTGGGGTAGTTCTGGAGGCTGAGTGGGAAGGAAAGGGGGCTGCAGAAGCCAGTCCCTCTGTGGGGTGAGCACATTAAATCCTGTGGTTGCTGGCAGCTCTGTTGGCACCTGGTGGGGAGCAGTCTTAAGATGGCATTGTCGATGGCCAAGTGGAGAGTGACAGAGGACCCAGGACCATGGTGACATCCAGGCCTGATGTCCACCTCACCTCTGGGCATCCAGTTGCATGAGCTGTACATTTCCTGTTTCGCCTTTGAGTCAAGTCTCCATTCTTTGCAGCCAATAGCATCCGACTCACGTAACCCTGACTTGGTATCAGGAAAGCCAGGAGGACTCTACATAAAGCCAGGGTTCTGTTCACTTCCTGTTTAGGAGTCCTTTTGTCCCTTACTGCACCCAAGTCAAGGTTGCCAAGTTCAGTTTTCCCCTTCCGGGTCCTATTGTGGTGACCTGATGTGTGACCACAAGACCTGATTTTGGCGACCTGGGTCTGGTGGAGTCTGGCTCTGAGCTGTGGTCTCTGGCTAGCCACAGTCTGTCCAGGCCTCAGTTTCTTCTTTGTTGTTGCCTATCTTTGCAAATGAGGGACCTGCCATTGTTTGGAGTTTTCACATCTCTCTGATCTCCCTGGCCCATAGCCCCCTGCGTTAAATGGCTGGGTATACCAAGCATGCCCAGCCCAGGACTCATAGCACAGGCTGCCCTCATAAGCGCTGTACATAAATGACAATGTCCAGGCTAGTCCTCAGAACTGTCATCAAGTGGGCTGGCCCAAATCCTACCCCAACCTGTGGGAAACAGGCTAGGCAGGGAGGGAATTAGTTGGTGCTGGACCTACAGCCTAGGGGGCCATCAGGGAGAGCCAGGCTTTGATGTTTCAAAATCCACATATGGACTGGCTGATTCCACCCTCCTTCTTTGGGTCCTTCCCTACTGTCGGCTGAGTGGGGTAGAGTGTTGCTCGACCGCAGGTAT